AGGGTGTGAGGGAAACCCCACAGCACCAGTTGCTGCCTAGGCATTAAAAGTAGAACCCAATGGCTTAAGCCTGTGGCCAGAGATAAGAGCTTAGAGGCATAGCTCTTGCTTACAAGATGGGGCTCCTCACTTTTCCTGTTGCTTCCTTTACTTTAAACGAACCATTTAGGCTTTTGCTCACAAGCATAGTTAGCCACATCCTATTCCTACATATATATAAAATACACATATACATGCATGCTGCTAGTTGCCATACTCTCTTTCTGCCTGACTCTTCATTACTGCCTCCTGTGACCAGGGACGAAGGACTGGCCTTCTGACTCATTGCTCCCTCCCTGCCCAGCATCCGTAATAATCAGTCTTTGAACTTATTTTCTATTGTAGTGGTGTATTGACTTGCACCTTCCCTCTGAAGAACCAGGGTCTGCCCCAGGCCAGGATTTTCCTGGGATGCCAGGAAGAACACAACATCAGGCTCCCAGTGCCAAAGCAATGGTCAGACGGCATAAACTGGACATAAGTCAGACAAGAGCCACAAAGGCATATGCCAGTATAAACAAGCTTCCTGTGTGAGGGACTCCTTGGTCATGGGTCAGACAACCAGGCATCAGGCCGTTCTCCAGGTGAAAGAAGTTTCCTGTGAAAGGCAAGCTGTAAACACCTATATCCAGCTCCCTGAATTTCCTGTTAGGGCAAGGTTGCCAGCCGCTCTGGTGCTGGAACCCCAATTTAGCTGGGGGCTCTCAGAACAGAGGGACCACTCTGTGCAGAAAGAATGCCCAGTGCAAAGGCTCTGCTTGTTCGTTATAAATTGTGTGGTTGGTGGGGATCAGAGTGCTGGCGCAGCAACATTTTGGAGTATATTTCACCCTCTTGAGTTTTAGGGAAGGGGGATAAGTAGAGATTTGGACTTGTGATCATCTAATTTTGGTGTATTGGAGAAACTTCTTTAAGACCTGAAGAAGACAGTTCAGGATACTGAAACTAGCAGAGATCACTTCTTCCCTTAGGGGGCACACTCTTGCCCTTATATTTTCATTTTCTCTGGCTCTTCTAATACTGGGTATATGCAGATATCGGTCTTTTCTTGAATGCAGTAGTAATCTCCAAGATTCAAGTTGGAATTGTAAAGGAAATAAAAGAGCAAGACTATTAACATTTTGCATTCTAGGATATTCAGGTCAAACTTGCTCAGGGGAATAGGGTCTCCCATACTGTCAACTCTTAACATACAAGAATGCTATATTATGCAATAATTGGGAATGGAGGGGAAAAAAAACAAACATGCTACACTAAAATTTGGGATCAAATGAAAGCAATCAATTTGGTATTGTCTTGTTTTGTCATCTCTGTGCATGTTTTCTTCAGAGCCCTGCGGGAAATAAGTAGTTGGCATAATACCCAACTACTAACTGCAGTTCCTTAACCTATGAAGAAAATAGGATTGAATCTATGAAGAAGGTAGGGAGCAATGAGTGAGACTGAACCTGTAGGAGACAAGGTTAGAGAGGAAGTAGAAGGGTTTGAGCAAGGAAAATGACACTACCTTATATAACAGAGTATTTCCCCATTGGAGTACAAGCCCTTTTAATTTGGGTTTTCTGTTTCCTGTGGCCAAAAGCATCCTAGCAGATACCTCATCTTTCTCTTCCTGGGCTTTAGCTCATCAGTTAATTCTCTTTCCACTGGAGGTAACAGATTTCATATTAAGGAAAGTGACATTTCCTCACAGTACTTCTTACCAATGTTTATGTTATCTTTTACCGATCACAGGGAAATACATCTTCACAGCAGATAGGAGCAAAATACGACTTGAATAGTTCTATTCTCATCAAGACTATTTGTAAGAAATAGGCACCGGAGATCGGGCTGAAGAAAAAAGATTTACTTGAAACTCCAGGATAGCGACAATACTGATGGCACCTTATGGGGTTTGGCTTGGAATTGGAGGTTGCTATGGAGAGCTCAGCAGCTGTCTAGGGAGTGCTCTAGTGCTCTTTCCCTTAAAGTGATTCAATTACTTTCTATATTTCTTTGTTTCTGTTTCATTAGTAAGAAGAGCTTCCCTCTGTGCCATTTAATTCAAATTCATTAGAGAGGGGCTAAGACTGGCCCATTTGCCAAGCCACACCATACAAGTCCAAGGTTGCTGAGAAGATTGTGGATTAACTACTTATAGATCAGCTGTCCAGGCATGGTCCATTTAGCTGTGGGACAGATAGGGCCCTGTCCTGTGATATGGAATAAAGGCCTTCAAGGCAACTGAGATGCATGAGTCAATGAATGAATAAATATCAAAGCAATTTGGACAGGGCAGGCAATAACAGGGATCTCTATAACATCTGCTTTCTCTTCATCAGCAAGCAGCATTTTATAAGAGCCTGTTTCCCCTGGATCTCTCTTATACTCAATCTGTAATCTGAAAAATCCTTTCTGTGGCCTGCATTTCTTTGCAAGACTCAGTTCATTTGGAACGATAGTGTCCTGACAGTTGTTTTTGTTTCCTTCTTTCTAACATATCAACCTTTTGAAATCTGAACCCAATGGAGTATGTCAGCACAACCAGGCAGGTTTCTGGTAGGACTTCACCATTAAGGTGGCATTATGACTCCTGTAAGCCCTAGGAACTTTTACTTTCATGAGCCCCATCCTCAAATAAAAAAACATTACGACTATGTTGGTATAAGGACAAATATAATACAGAATAGACAGATACAGGCTGGAGTCATTATTGATATATTCATTTATGTCCTCAAATTTTAAAAGAAATTAAAATGTTTTCTTGATCCCTAAAAGTATCATGAGCCCCAGACACTGTGTCTGCTGCACCAACTGGGCAAGTTGCCCTGCTTGCTGTGTATCTTCTTTAGGATCACATGCTTTGCACAGTCAGATTTTCATAGCATCCTAACCTTCTTAGTCTTGCCTTCCAATAACGCTTATGCCATAAAAACATGCCAATCAGGCCAGGTGTGGTGGCTCACACCTGTAATCCCAGCACTCTGGGAGGCCGAGGCGGGTGGATCACCTGAGGTCAGGAGTTCGTGACCAGCCTGGACAACATGGTGAAATCCGTCTCTACTAAAAATACAAAAAAATTATCCGGGCATGGTGGTGCACACCTGCAATCCCAGCTACTCAGGAGGCTGAGGCAGGAGAATCACTTGACCTAGGAGGCAGAAGTTACAGTGAGCCGAGATCACGCCATTGTACTTCAGTCTAGGCAACAAGAGCAAAACTCCATCTCAAAAAAAAATAAACATAAAAGTAAAAAAGCCAATCATTTTTCTGAAAGTTTTGAAATCTACATTTTTAAAGTTAAAGGTAATGATTTTTACATGATACGTAGGAAATTCTAATGCCTTTAGATTTCTCATTTCCATGTGGAGATATCAACTATTTTGCAGAATTAAATAAGATAAGGATGTAAAAACACATTGTAAACTACGGATCATTTTACAAAGGCTAGGTATTAATACACCTCTCTAAAAATTTAACTTCAATACCTTAATCAAAATTGTAACTATGCCAGTTCAGTTTTATTTAGAGATATTTTGGTTAAAAGGCAAGTAATGGAAAAATCAAGAGAAATGGCCGCTATTGATTCATCAGTGACTTTTATTCTTGAAAGCAGCATAACTGTTAAGTCAGTGCTTTTTCAAACAACTCAGTGAGGCTCTTTTCCTGCAAAACATTGATGTGATTAGTATGCCTCTTCTGAACGACAAGGAGAGCATCTGTTCTTTTCCATAAAGCCTTTCCTTGGAAGACCTTTGCAGTTCTAAATACAAAGGTGAGTCCAGTCTGTCTTAATATGACTGAAGGAAGAAAGAAGCAAAGATCTCTCTTCCCTAAATGGATTAGTGTAACAGCATTGCTGGTGAAAATTCTTTCCCTTCCATCATAAATCTAGACTATTGTTAGCTATGTGTACCGGTTGCTAAAGGAGACCAATCATGCATGCTTTGGGATAAAAGCATCTTGGCCATATCATCTCCCCACTAATCCAGATTATAAAACACAGAAGAACAGGAAATAACTCACTACCAATTTAAATACATAATTTCAGACAATCCTAAAACTAAGAGGAACTTTGAAAGTTCAACTAAGGCAATTCCCTCCCTTTATCACAGATACGTATGTTGTGAGGCTTCAACGAGATGAATCACTTGTTCTTTATATAACATTTTTAAAAAATACTAAAACATCTTTAAAGACATTGTTTTATGATAATTAGATTATCTTTGTGGTGTAGGGGAGATGTACAATCATCGACCAAAATTTAGAGGTGGGCAGACTTTTTCTATAAAAGACTGAATAGTAAATATTTTAGGCTTTGCAAGCCATATAGGGTCTCTGTTGTACTTTCTTCTTTTTCTTCTTCTTCTTCTTCTTTCAACTACCTTTAAAATTACAAAAACTTGGCTGGGTGTCATGGCTCATGACTGTAATTTCAGCACTTTGGGAGGCTGAAGCTGGAGGATCACTTGAGGCCAGGATTTGAAACCAGCCTGGGAAACATAGTAAGACCTAATGTCTACAAAATTGTTTTTAAAAATTTGCTAGGTATGGTGTATGAGCCAACAGTTCCAGCTACTCAGGAAGCTGAGGCAGGAGGCTGAACCCAGGAGTTTGAGGTTATAATGAGCTATGATTATGCCACTGCACTCCAGCCTGGGCCTGGGTAACAGAGCAGGACCCTGTCTCTTAAAATATGTGTGTGTGCATGTGTGTGTGTGTGCGTGTGTGTGTGTGTGTATGTATGCATGTATACACTCTTCTTTTCTCACTAACCATAAAAAAACAGGCAGGTCAGATTTGCCCTGTGCGGCTGTGCAGGTTGTGATTTGCCAGCTCCTGAACTAGATAGTAAAACTGAAGCAATAGGAGATAATGTGTCAAATCACCTTATAAAACAATGATAAAATCAAGAGCAAAATTTAAATCTTCATACCTCATTCAGTATAACATTCTATATCTATGAAAAATCTCTACTTTACCTGAAATTCATCGAAACATAGGAGACATGCTTCTTCACTGATTTCTTCAGCTATAGGCGCTATTGGGTCATATGATTTAGCCATGAATCCTGGTTTCCTTTTTGGCAAACTCTGTTTAAGGCGATGTATTCCTTAAATGAATGAAATTAAACACAGATGAAATACATTAGTGTATTTTAGACAATTATAACATTTTAAAAATCTCTAAATGAAACTTTAGTATGGACATAAAATTAAGTTTAAATTTCATGTAAAATCAAATTTGATCATTGAAACTGTTTGCATTTTCTGTACTTCAAAATAAGTTGTTCAAATATTATTGTGTTCTTATAGTTGTAAGGAAACTTCAAGGTCATTCCATTTCTACTCTTCAATCATTTCAGAAATTACAAGGTAATAGACAAGTGACTAGATGCATCAACACATCCACCTTAGTCGTGTATTTCAGGGATGAGAGCAGAGGATATGATCCTGCCCAAGTAGTGTATATTATGTCTAGCATATGCAATCAGATTGTGTCCTTATCTCTAGCCTAATACACTAAGGCCAGTCCACTTCATTCATTATGTGTGTACTAAATGCTGCAAGTATTAGAGGAAAAAATCACATGATTCCTGCTCTGGGGAGGTTACAGTGCAACTGGTAAACAAATCGTGCAAAACTGGAATAACATAAGATCACTAGGAAAGCAATAAAGCTTCTATGCTTACTCAAACTGAATGCCTACATGCTAAGGTAACACAGAGTAAAGGACCTAATCAAGAATCACTTATTTAAACAGGTGCATTTTTAACATTTTTTATTGGCCCTTAGTAGAAACAGAAAACGCCTGAGCTTCATATAGTAATCTCTGTTCTCTGATTTGAAAGTATTAAATTAGTCTTAAGGACCAATTCTGGACACATTACTGACTGTTTCAACATAGCACAAAACAAATGGAACCAAATAAAATCTTACTGAAAGCAAAAATCTAATTTTTAAAAAGAGTATATGTTCATTCAATCAAGAAAACCATTCTGTAGTGTTTCCCCACTGAAAAAAACTTCTTTCAGATCATTGCTTACTTTTGTGCACATCTAGCATGAAACCATGAAAATGAACCCGTTTTTTCCTCTTCATTTCCACATAAGCATAAAACATGTCCATCACCATTGTTTTTCCTGTACCTTAAAAACAAAAACAAAAACAAAAATAAGAATACTATTAAATAGTATGTACTGATTGCTGTAAAGATTGTTCATTAGCTTTGAGATAATGAAACCGTACTCTTCCACTGGGAAGCTGAAGACTATGTCACTTCTTTAGAAGGGGGAGCTTACTTTGTATGTTAAACTAGCTAAAAATAAAATGCTGAGATTACTCTTTTCTGTTAAAATCCTGTTTATAGGAAACACAACAATTACTTAACATTACAGGGGCTATTTCCCCCTGAAAACTATGTTCATAAACTGGCAAGATTTACAGTCTTCTCTTCCAAAAGACACTAGCATAAATAAAATAAATAATTAAAAATTTATTGGGTCATTACTATGCATGAGGAACTGTTTTAGGCACTACAGGGAAATTCAAAAATGAAAAATAAGAGAAGAGGCTGGGCACAGTGGCTCATGCCTATTATCCCAGCACTTTGGGAGGCCAAGATGGGAGGATTGTCTGAGCCCAAGGATTCAAGACCAGCCTGGGAAACATAGCAAGACCCCCAACTCAAAAAAAAAAAAAAAAAAGAAGAAAGAAAAGAGAAGAAAGAGGAAATATAAAGATTAGTATCTAACATAAATATTGAACATGAATCATATATGTAGATTAGAGCTAGAGAATTGCCAATTTTAACACTTCCATTTTTTAAAAGCTGAGAATATAGATCTCTCAAAATAAAACCTACTTGAGGAAATTCTGATACAGTCAATCCTTATAATTAAATTATCTAATTTTCAACACTAAAACTTTTAATGACTACAATCGAATCAGTAGAGTAGAATACTCTTATCTGAGAATTCAGTTACTCAAGGCCCACAATCAATCATAGTCTAAAGATATTAAATGGAAAACTCCAAAAACAAACAATCCTCAAGAATTAAATTATGCAGCTCTCCTGAGTAGCATGAAGAGACCTCATGCCATCCCATTCCATTCCACCCAGGACATAAATCATCCCTTTGTCTGGCATATCCACACTGTATTCACTACCCTACCATTGGTCACTTAGTGGCCTTCTCTGTTAAAAACATAGTATATATAAGTTGGGCGCGGTGGCTCACGCCTGTAATCCCAGCACTTTGGGAGGCCAAGATGGGCAGATCACATAAGGTCAGGAGTTCGAGACCAGCCTGGCCAACATGGCAAAACCCTGTCTCTACTAACAGTACGAAAATTAGCCGGGCATGGTGGTGGGCACCTGTAATCCCAGCTACTCAGGAGGCTGAGGCAGGAGAATAGCTTGAACCTGGGATGCGGAGGTTGCAGTGAGATGGCACCACTGCACTCCAGCCTGGGCGACAAGAGAGAGACTCCATCTTAAAAACAAAAACAAAAACAAAAACAAAAACATAGGGTTCAGGACTATGTGAGGTTACAGGCATCCACTGGAACTATCCTCTATGAATAAGGGGAAACTACTGTAATTGAATATCCAACAGCCTGAGAATTTAATGCAGGTAGCATAAAATGTCTTATCCCCTCTCAGGAAGCCTAGGGCATTCGGGTCAGGGGCCCAAGCTCAGTTTGTACCTGGCATTCCTCAGTAAGCCAGACCAGCACGTGCTGGTCCAGTCTCACATCCTCCCTACTTCCTCGTCTCCCACCACCACAAGATTACTTCTTGTCTAGTAATTCCTTCGCAATTAATAGAATCCAAAGGCACTTCAGAAAGTAAGAAGATCTAAATCTTATCTTTTGGGTTTCCTCCATGCCACAAGATGACACTGGGCCCATGCCATTTGAATGTCAGAGTGCTTTTGTATATGAAAAAACAATCCACCAAACATTTTTTTATGAAGAAGTCATTTTGATGGCAAGTCATTCATTACAAAAATATTCAGTACGGTATCTCTTGATATAGTGATTAGCAGTAGATTTTAAGTAATTATATTTACCCAGAAAAGTTAACAAAGTTTCAAATTCTGCTGCATGCAGTGTAGTATACTTATAGATTCAGAATAAAGTCATGAATTATCTAACCAAAAATACATTAATTAATCATTAGGGTAAAGCAAATCAAAACTACAAGATACCACTTTACTTACATTAGAACGACTATTAAAAAAAAAGAAACAGAAAATAACAAGTGTTAGCAAGGATGTATAAAAATTGGAACCTGTGCATTGCTAGTGAGCATAACAATGGTACTGTCACTGTGGAAAACACTATGACAGTTCTTCAAAAAATTAAACACAGGCCAAGTGCAGTGGTTCACACCTATAATTTCAGCACTTTGGGAGGCCTAGGAGGGAGAATTGCTTGAGACTAGGAGTTCAAGAAGACCAGCCTGGGCAACATAGCAAGATCTCATCTCTACTAAAAATTTAAAATATTAGCCAGGTTTGGTGGTGCATGCCTGTAGTCCCAGCTACTCGGGAGGCTGAAATGGGAGGATTGCTTGAGCCCAGGAGTTCAAGGTTGCAGTGAGCTATGATCGTGCTACTGCACTCCAGCCTGGGCAACAGAGAGAGACTTTGTGTCCAAAAAATTAAATAACTAAACATAGTGTGACCATAGGATCCAGCAATTCCACTTCTGAGTATATGCACAAAACAACTGAAAGCAGGGATTCAAACAAACACTTACACCTCAATATTTACAGCAGAATTATTCACAATAGTCAAAAGATAGAACAACCCAAACATCCATTAATGGATGAATGGACAAACAAAAAGTGGTATATACATAAAATGATACAGTTGGCCCTCTGTATCTAGTTTCCACATCCCCGGATTCAACCAACAGTGGATCAAAATTATTTTTAAAATAAAAAATAAAGAACAGGTGGATTGGCTTACGCCTATAATCCCAGCAATTTGGGAGTCCAAGGCAGGCAGATTAATTGAGTCCAGGAGATTGAGACCAGCCTGGGTGACATGGCAAAATCCCATCTCTACAAAAAAATATAAAAATTAGCTGGGCATTGTGGTGCATGCCTGTAGTCCCAGCTATTCAAAAAGCTGAGGCAGGATGATCACTTCAGCCCAGAAGGTGGAGGATGCAGTGTGCTGAGATCATGCCACTACACTTCAGGACCTGGGTGACAGAGCGAGATTCTGCTTCAAAATAGTAATAATCATCCTATCCTCATAATATAAACAAAAAACAATACAGTATAACAACTATTATAGCATTTATGTACCACTTACATTGTTATAAGTAATCTAGAGGATTTAAAGTATACAGGACAACACACAAAGTTTATATGCAAAGGCTACACCATTTTACATAAGGGACTTGAGCATTCTCAAATTTTGGTATCCAAGGGGATCCTGAAACCAATCCCCCATGAATACCAAGTATATTATTCAGCCTTAAAAAGGAATCCAACTCATATGCAATGTGCAATAATATGGATGAATCTTGAAGATATTTTGCTAAGTAAAATAATCCAGACCCAAAAGGAAAAATATTGTATGATTCCATTTATATAAGGTATTGAAGAATAATCAAATTCATAAAGACAGAAAGTAGAATGGTGGTTGCCAGGCCAGGGGAGTCAGAGGGTGGGATGTGGAAAATGTGGGAGAGAGGTAGAATAGGAAGTTGTTGTTTAATGGACACAGAGTTTCAGTTTGGGAAGATAAAAATGTTCTGAAGATGGATGGTGGTAATAGTTGTACAACAATATGAACAGACTTAATGCTACTGAATCACACACTGAAAATGTTTAAAAGGGTAAATTTTATGTAATGTGTTTTACCATAATAAAAACAATTGAATATATTTTTTAAAACCTATAGTTAATATGCTTAACGGTAAAAGACTGAACACTTCTCCCCTACAATTTGACAAAGGCAAGGATGTCTACACTCATGTTCTGAAAATGGATGGTGGTAATAGTTGTACAACAATGTGAACAGACTTAATGATACTGAATTATATGCTGGAAATGTTTAAAAGGGAAAATTTTATGTTATGTGTTTTACCATAATAAAAACGATTGAATACATTTTTTAAAACATACAGTTAATATGCTTATTTGTAAAAGACTGAACACTTCTCTCCTCCAATTTGACACAGAAAAGGATGTCTACACTCACTACCTCTATTCAACATTGTACTGGGAGTCCTAGCGGGTGCAAGGAGGCAGCAAAAAGAAATAAAATGCATAAAACTTTAAAGAAGTAAAATTGTGTTTATTGGCAGATAACCTAATTGTATATACACAAAAAAAAAAATCCTAAAGAATCTACCAAATCACCACTAGAGTTAATAATTAAATTTAGCAAGATCATAGGATACAAGGTCATCAAAAAATCAACTGCATTTCTATAAACAGTAACGCATATAATGACATTTTGGTCAACCATGGACCACATATCCAATGGTGGTCCCAAAAGATTATGAAGAAGCTGAAAAATTTCTATCACTTAGTGATGTCATAGCTATCCTAACATGGAAGCACAATTAATTTTTTTTAAATAAATTTCATGTAGCTCAAGTACACAGCACTGATAACATCTTGTATAAAGTAGCATACAGAAATGTCCTCAGCCTTCATATTCATTCACCACTCACTCACTGACTCGTTCATAGTCAAACAGGCATCCCATATTTTATCTATTATACTGTATTATTACTGCACCTTCTCTGTTTAGATATGTGTAAATAAACAAATACCATAGTGTTACAACTGCCTACAGTATTCAATAGAGTAACACGCTGTACAGGTTTGTAGCACAGGAGCAATAGGTTCTATAATACAGCTGAGGTGTGTAGTAGGCACATGTATCCCTGCATCCAAGCCAGGGAGAACTATGCTTCCTAACTCCTAACCTTAAAACCAGCCTACCTTTCAACTGGTGAAATTAGAATCTGTGTCAATGTGAAACATGTGAGGTGAAACCAGGAGGCAGCAGAAAAGGGGCTGATAAGCAAAATGTACTTTTATTCTCTTCTAGTGTACCAGAGAATTCATTAACCCTGCCATCACCACCGCAGTCGGCTGGTCAAGAGCTGAGGCTCTGTTGTGAGAAAGTCAGCTGTTGGGTATGAATGAAGCCACAAAATACTACTACCACAGCTTTTGGCTTCTACATGAGATGTGATAAACATTTTACAACAAAAATAATTCATTTCAAGATTGAACCATGATAATAATCCCTCCAACTCATACATCAACCCTACTGCAGTTCCTAGGATTTAGGTTCCACCTGGGTCAATCCTCTCAACACATCTGTGAAGAAAGAGGTGAAGTGAGCAGGACAAAGCCCAAATAGAGTGCAAGAATGAAAAGTGGGAAGGGAGTGCTACCAGGTAGGTATTCTCTATCCCATGAAGTCTCCTTAAAAATTATTTATTTAAATTTTTCTTAAAAAAAAAAACATAAGAGAGGAGGTCTCACTATGTTGCCCAGGCTGGTCTCGAAATCCTAAGCTCAAGCATGTTTATTTATTTTTATTTTATTTTTATTTTATTTTATTTATTCATGTATTTATTTATTTATTTTGAGACAGTCTTGCTCTGTTGCCCAGGCTGGAGTGCAGTGGTGCGATCTCAGCTCACTGTAACCTCTACCTCCCGGGTTCAAGCAATTCTTCTGCCTCAGTCTCCTGAGTAGCTGTGACTACAGGCACCCACCACCATGCCAGGCTAATTTTTGTATTTTTAGTAGAGACAGGGTTTCGCCATTTTGGCCAGGCTGGTCTGAAACTCCTGACCTCAATGATCCGCCCTGCTCAGCCTCCCAAAGTTGCTGGGATTATAGGCGTAGGCCACTGCACCTAGCCCAATTTATTTATTTATCTATTTTTAAGATAGGGTCTTACTCTGTAGCCCAGACTGGAGTGCAGTGGTGCAATCTCAACTCACTGCAACCTTGACCTCCCAGGCTCAAGTGATCCTCCCACCACATCCTACTGAGTACCTGGAACTACAGGCACACACCACCATGCTCAGCTAATTTTTTAATTTTTTTGTAGAGACGGGGTCTCACCTTGTTGTCCAGGCTAGTCTCAAACTTCTGGTCTTAAGAAATTATCCTACCTCAGCCTCCCAAAGTGCTGATATTACAGGCATGAGCCACCATGGCCAGCCTTCTTAAAAGTTAGTACCTGTTTCCCAAGTCCAAAAAAGGAAAAGAATAAAGAATAAGAGCTTATGGTGGCATTTTGAGGCTATTCTCCCAGAGAGCCCCCCAGATGAAAACTTCATCTTTTATTACCTATTTTATTTCATTTTTGAGATGGGGGTCTCACTCTGTTGCCCAGACTGGAGTGCAGTGGCATAATCATGGCTCACTGCAGCCTTGACCTCCCAGGCTCAAGTGATCCTTCTACCTCAGCCTCTGGAGTACTTGGGACTATAGGCACATGCCACCATGCCAGGCTAATTTTTGTATTTTTTGTGGAGACAGAGTTTTGCCATGTTGCCCAGGCTGGTCTTGAACTCCTGGGCTCAAGCAATCCACCCACCTCGGCCTCCCAAAGTGCTGGGATTACAGGTATGAGCCATCATGCCTGGCAGATTACCTATTTTATAAGTGGTCTGAACTAAACTTACTATAGCCACCAAAATGTTCATCTCACTTCCCATTTCAGAATTCCTTTCTCTTCCCCTCTCTATATTATAAGGATGTTTCCAAACAAAGGTTGCCACACACCCAAACTATATGAACATCCCGTACTATCACATCTTTTCTATTGCTTTCAAACACTCAGATGAATAACTTGTAATGTGCTTCCCTTCAGTTAGTTACCATATGGCTGTATTTTCTAAACTAAAATCCAACAACGTTCATAGGGTTTAAAAAAAAAGTCCTTTTACAGAAGTGGAAGCAGTTGTGCTTTATCAACCATCTCCATTTATGGTCAGCTGGTTAAGGTAACAGGAGGAACAAAGTTGTTGATTTTAGCAATGACTTAATATGAAAGTGAAGGTACTGGAAGTAAATGTTCTCAGGAGGCAGAGAATGAGCCCTGACAACAGGATGAGAATCTTTAATGGTGCCCAAAGGTGCAGGAACATAAAATTGATCAAGTGTCTATTATAAATTGCTTTCTAAATAAGAAGTAAGTATACATTGGTCTCAAAAGTACCAATTAGCCAATGAACTAAGAAAAAGAATAGTTTGAGCTTCTTTTTTGTAATTTCAAGAACTTAAGGAATTTTAAGGGGCAATCTCTAATGTTCACTTTTGTGAACTAAATTATTCTCTTTTATTAGATTAGCTAAATCTGGAAATATAAAACGGATATTCAATGCAAGGCATTAGTAAACAAATTAGAAAAAGAAAGAACAGTTTAGAAAGGAACAGTTTTATCTTTAAGGCATTAAAACTACTTATTCGGCCAGGCACCATGGCTCACGCCTGTAATCCCAGCACTTTGGAAGGCTGAGGACGGCGGATCACAAGGTCAGGAGATCGAGACCATCCCGGCTAACACGGTGAAACTCCATCTCTACTAAAAACACAAAAAATTAGCCGGATGTGGTGGCAGGCACCTGTAGTCCCAGGTACTTGGGAGGCTGAGGTAGGAGAATGGCGTGAACCCGGGAGGCAGAGCTTGCAGTGAGCCGAGATCATGCCACCACACCAGCCTGGGTGACAGAGCAAGACTCCGTCTCAAAAACAAATAAACAAAAAAACTACTTATTCAATGCCCTTTTTTTTTCTTTTCCTAAAAATGTTACTAATATTCCCTGCTATTACTCCCTCATAATGCAAATGTGTCGTGGCTATAGGGGAGCCTAGAGTGTGAATATTAGTCTAGTACAAAACTGACCTTGTTACATGTGAATGTGAGTTTTGAGTATGCCAGTAGAAGAAATAATTGATTGACAGTAAACTGAGGGATTAGAAAAAAATAAAATTTAAAAATTTAAAAAGACACGAAAGAAATAATTGAAAGCAAGGAGGCAATAAAGCCAAGTAGAAACCCCTTCATGATATCAATGACTGAGGGTGGCCAAGCAGAGGTTTAAGACTAAGAGAAAAGGATTTGTTTGAAGAAAATAGAAACCACAAAACCGAATATTTCAGTAAGAATGAGGTCAGGGAAGACTTCATAAGCAAGACACTACATGATTAGGAAAACCTGGAAAGAAGTGACGACTCAGAAGGTTTCCATCAAAATGTGAGTCTTTCTGCCCAATGTCTACAACTGGGAGACCAAGGAAATGTTACCACTTATGCATTAAGAGTATCTACTATCAACTACATTAAAGATAATAACGACTAAATTATTCATCTTAGTGCTTAGGTTATGACTAGAAATATTACTGGAAATTAAAAGTAAAAAAGAACAGCTTATTTTTTTAAAAAGTATTAAGCTGAGTTAATGAGTCATGGAATCCTGATTTGTCTAATAACCTACTGTAGATGATTTCCTTCCCTGAGATTAATTACGTTATACATTAAATAATGTTTGCACCCTAACATGGTGACTAATTCTGCCCTAGACTATAGCCGTATCCTAAGAGAAGTAAAGTAAAAGCTGAGATACTGCCCTCTCTCCCCTTTCTTCTCTCCCTGCCTTACCCTGCCTCATCCTCTTCCCTTGCTGGTAATAGATTGAGGAATAGAAATAGAAATTATCCCTGAGCAAAAGCTGAGAAACTTTCTGTTTTGCCCACCCAAAACTTATTTTAACACACTTACCAACATCTCCATAAACATACAGGCCCCTGGGAGGTTTGCTCCTTGAAAAAAGCTGCAAATTAAGAACAAATTATAAATCTCTACCATGCAAATAATTAAATATAATCATATACAGAGTCTTCCTAACTGTCGTATATACACAACCAAGAGGGACTATTATATACAATAAGAAAAAACTTGATGTAAAAATGTATAAAACTGAAATATTATGCAGCCTTAAAAAGGGAAAAAACTCTAACATATACATGAATGAACATTGAGGACATTATGCTAGGTGACATAAACCAGTCACAAAAAGACAAATACTATCACTCCACTTACATGAGGTACTTAGAAGAGCGAAAAATTAAAGAGACAGAAAGTAGAAGTCAGGCGCTGTGGCTCACACCTCTAATCTGAGCACTCTGGGAGGCTGAGGTGGGAGGATCACTTGAGCCCAAGAGTTCAAGACCAGCCTGGACAATATAGGGAGACCTCATCTCTGCAAGTAGTTAAAAAGAATTAGCCAGATGTGGTGGCATGTACTTGTGGTCCCAGTTACTCAGGGGACTGAAGTTAGAGGACTGCTTGAACCCAGGAGGTCAAGGCTACAGTGACCTGTGTTCACACCACTGTACTGCAGCCTGGACAACAGAGCAAGACCCCGTCTCAATTAGAAAAAGGTAGAAAAAGAGGTTGCCAGGGGCTGGAGGGAGGAAGGAATGGGGAATTATTGTTTAATGGGTTCCGAGTTTCAGTTTTACAAGATGAAAGGAGTTCTGGAGATAAATGGCAGTGATAGTTGCATGACATTACGAATGTATTTA